CTCCCACTGACACCAACGATGGGACACTATTCCTCCCACTGACACCAACGATGGGACACTATTCCTCCCCACTGACACAAACGATGGGACACTATTCCTCCCACTGACACCAACGATGGGGCACTATTCATCCCACTGACACCAACGATGGGACACTATTCCTCCCACTGACACCACTGACACCAACGATGGGACACTATTCCTCCCACTGACACCAACGATGGGACACTATTCATCCCACTGATACCAACGATGGGACACTATTCATCCACTGACATCAGTGATGGGGCGCTAGTCCTCCCACTGCAAAATTACAGTTATGAAGTAGCAACGAAAATAATTTTATGGTTGGGGGTCACCACAACATGAGGAACTGTATTAAGGGGGTCGCGGCATTAGAAAGGTTGAGAACCACTGAATTAGCACATGTGAATAAAAAGAATACTCGCCATAGTGCAATATCATCCAGCAAATTTATTAAGGTAACAAAAAACCCCCATTAAAACCGCACTCACAATGAGTATATAAATGTACAGCGTTTGTTAATACTCAGAGCTACAAGCTCTGTCTCCAGCGTCTCACCAGCCTGCCTGCACTCAAGATGGTGATGGTGCAATCACGTGGTCTGGACACGTGCATCAGCGTGATTGGTGACGTCACTGGCTAGCCACACACTAACGCGTTTCGTTAGATGACATCTACTGAAGGAGTTGTAAGGGCTCTCTTATAGAGCCACCTCTTTTCTATTTGGCCCAATTAATTAAACACCTGAAGGTGTGATGTCATTACTATGCATGATCCCATGTATAAACACCTGACTACCTCATTGCAATAGCACCATCTTGTGTGCAAATACTATTATAACAATGAGGTAATAACAATACATACCATTGTAATAGCCATCAGCATAATCACATTTATACACTCAATCAATAAAATACATTTTAAAGTTACATCAATAATAATTACATTTATTAAAATAAATTAGAATAGAATAATGAAAAAAAATTCATTAATATAAATAAAATAAAAATAACACTGAAATAAAATAAATAAACTAAAATTAAAATTATGCATCACTAATGAAACAATTTAAATCCAGTTCAACGTTTAATTTCTTAGGAGATAAAGCTTCAGTTAAATAAATCCATTTAGTTTCGCATTTTGAAAGCTCCCTAATTCTATTGGATCCCCTCCAAGCTTTGGGTATAGACTTAATGGCACAAAATTTTATATTGGTTGAATCACAATTATGATATTTCTTAAAGTGTAAAGATACACTATGGTACTTATACCCCTTGCTAATATTCCTCAAATGTTCAAGTACCCTAACCTTAAGTTGTCACTTGGTCCTCCCAATATAAATAAGGCCACATGGGCATTCCAAACCATACACTACATGGGTAGAGTCACAGGTTAAAAAAGAAGAAATATCAAATTCCCTATGATTGGAATTCGAGGTAAATTTATCCAGTCACTTAAATTTATGTTTAACCGAACTACACGCAGTACATTTTTTGCAAGAATAAAAACCTTTTCTATCTTTGAACCTTTGAACATTTTTAAAGTCTTAGGGGGGTCCAGAATTTTCTGGACTATTTTATCACCAATAGTAGGGGCCTTCCTATAAATAAATGCTGGTTTCTCCGGGATAACATTCCCTAATGTTTTTATCAAGCCTCAAAATGTGCCAATGTTTATAAAAAATATCCTCAACAGCCTTATATTGTATATGGTAATTAGAAATAAATCCCCACTGATGTCTATCATTCGAGGCCAGTTTAGGTTTCTCAACTAACAGCTGGTCTCTGGGTATTGATTGAACCTGGTCGACTATATCCTTAAGTTTATCTAATTTGTAACCCTTATCCACAAACCTATTAACCAAATTATCCGCCTGAGCTCGAAACACAACATCCTGACTACAATTCCTCCTCACTCTCATTATTTGACCCTTGGGTATATTCCTCAACCACTGGGGGTGATGTCCACTAACTATTGGCAGATACCTATTTCTATCGGTGGGTTTGAAATAGGTTTTGGTAAGCAATGTGTCATTGACTCTAAAAATAGTGAGATCCAAGAAATGCACTGATTCAGCACTATATTGATAATCCAACTTAATATTATTGGGGTTATTATTCAAGCTCTCTAGAAAACTTAATAGTCCTCCTGTCATCAATAAATCTCTTGTATAGCACGTTGATGGATGAACACAAACCTGTCCTCCCATTCTGCCATGAACAGGTTTGCTATACTGGGTGCAAAACGGGCTCCCATTGCTACACCCCTCTTCTGGGAGAAGAAACTATGATTGTACCAAAAGTAATTGTGGGATAAACAGAATTCCAGAGTGTCTCTCAAAAACTTCTTTTGATTATATGGTAAATCTTCCCTCCTACTTAAAGCCCAATTCAGGGCTAAAAAGGAATCATCATGTTGTATAATGGTATAAAGAGACGACACATCCGCCGTAACTAGATATAATCTCGAATGGCCAGTAATTTAAATTCCAGCGAGAAATTTAAGTAGATGTTTTGTGTCTCGTAAATAAGCCTTAGTGGGTGACACACTTATATTGGCATGATGATGTTGGTATAAGAAGTGTCTTGAGTGTGATACTCATTAAGACACTTCGGGTGACTGACCTAATTGGAATATATATGGGGAATATATGTTTCTCTTGGATGTTAGATTTTCCCTTACCATATCATTATTTCAATTGTAGTTCACCGGATGGTCCAGATGTTACCCATTTTTGGATTGTTGATTTGAGCCATATTTGACGTTGCAGTGAGTATAATGGGGATTTGGAAGTGTAATTAACATAAATTCAATATAAGGGGTGGATCACCTGTTGAATGATCTTACCACACTCGTGGCTTTTTCAGGTTTATCTACCACATTTATGTTTGACTCTAGAGAATTGATGAGATCTTGCCCATCTTTGCCCGTCAATGGTCTCTGTTGCATGCCTCCCAACAGCCTGGATGGAAATGATTACATCCAGGTATATCTCTTTTTTGTTTTGTAAGTGTTTTTTATATTTTTAATTATTAAAATTTTTTAAATTTTATTTTATTTGTTATGTTGTTCATCCATCTTTTCTTCCTATGGGACAGCTAATGTATTGATTGCTTATTGTGTATTATATTACCTGTGCATGTATATGTATCTTATATGTATGTTTTCTATTTGCAGAGATGTTGTCAGGGCTCCCGGGTATGACCAGAGGTATGTGACTGACGCAGGGAAACGCAGACTTCAGATATGTTATAAACAATATAATTTATTAAAGACTAACAATACAAACATAAACGTAGTGCAATACTAAAACATAACACAGTGCAAACAAACCAAACCAACCACCCACAGATAACAGTACATACAATGCAAGCGTCGTCAGGCAGGCCGGGTCAATAACAATTGGGCAGGTAGGTACAGGGGGAGCAAGCGGAGAATGGTCGGGGTCACAAGCCAGGTTCAGCAGGTAGCGGGCAGCGTGGTACAGAGGGTCAGGCAGAGGGATGGTCAGGAACGAGCCGGGGTCAGAGCAGGAGAGGGTCAGCGTAATCAGAACAGGCAGAGTTTGGCAACTAGGAAACGTACTAGCAGGAACACAGGAACAGGAACAAGAATGCAGGAATACAAAATACAGGGCCCAGGAAAACACACACACCAAGGCAAAGACTGCAGGTCTGGCCATCACTTAAATACACCTGCCTAAGCAGTTTCAGGTGTTTGGCTGGCTGCAGGGTTGAGTCTCTGATTGCTGGGAGCACCCGCTGGCCAGCCCTGGTACTGCAGCCCACAAGGCAGGTGAGTCCCACCATTACTGGCAAGTCCATTCCTAATAGTACCCCCCCCTCAAGGAGCGGCCTCAGGACGCTCCAAACAGTCCTAGCTGGGCAAAATGTTCCACCGCTCGGGTCTGGTAACTGGCGGGATATCAAAGACTGGCACATCGGGCAGGACTCCGGGCAGCTGCACACCGGGCTGGACTCCGGGCAGCGGCACACCGGGCAGAGGCACATCGGGCAGGACTCCGGGCAGCGGCACATCGGGCAGGACTCCGGGCAGCGGCACATCGGGCAGGACTCCGGGCAGCGGCACATCGGGCAGAGGCACATCGGGCTGGACTCCGGGCAGCGGCACATCGGGCAGGACTCCGGGCAGAGGCACATCGAGCTGGACTCCGGGCTGGACTCCGGGCAGAGGCACATCGGGCTGGACTCCGGGCAGAGGCACATCGGGCTGGACTCCGGGCAGAGGCACATCGGGCTGGACTCCGGGCAGAGGCACATCGGGCTGGACTCCGGGCAGACGCACATCGGGCTGGACTCCGGGCAGAGGCACATCGGATCACCAGGCGGAGCAGCAGGCACCGGGCCACCGGGCGGAGCAGCAGGCACCGGGCCACCGGGCGGAGCAGCAGCAGGCACCCGGCCACCGGGCAGAGCAGCAGGCACCGGGCCACCGCACCGGGCGGAGCGGCGGGCGCCGGACCCCCAGGCGGAGCGACAGGTACTGAGTCACCAGGCACGACAGTGGGCTCCGAGTTAACTGGCATGACCGCTGGCACTGGGTCAGACATTGGATCGTCTGGCTGGACAGCAGACATCGGGTCACCAGGCATCAGGTCATTTGGCTCGACAGCGGGCACTGCGTCATCTGGCAAGGCAGTGGGCACCAAGTCACCAGGCACGACAGTGGGCTCTGAGTCAATTGGCACGACAGCGGGCACCGGGTCATCAGGAACCGGATCGTCTGGCTCGACAGCAGGCACCGGGTCATCTGGCGCTGGATCGTCTGGCTCGACAGCGGGCATCGGATCACCAGGCATGACCGCGGGGCACTGAGTCATCAGGCATTGGATTGTCTGGCTCGACAGCGGGCATCGGGTCACCAGTATATGACAGCGGGCACTGGGTCACCAGGCATCAGGTCATTTGGCTCGCCAGCGGGCACCCACGTCATCTGGCAAGGCAGTGGGCACCAAGTCACCAGGCACGACAGTGGGCTCTGAGTCAATTGGCACGACAGCGGGCACCGGGTCATCAGGTACCGGATCGTCTGGCTCGACAGCAGGCACCGGGTCATCAGGCAGTGGATCGTCTGGCTCAACAGCGGGCCTCGGGTCACCAGGTATGACAGCAGGCACCGGGTCATCAGGTACCGGATTGTCTGGATCAACAGCGGGCATCGAGTCAACTGGCCTAATAGGATCATCAGGCTGGATCAGTTCATCAGGCTGGGTAGAAACATCATGTTGGGTGGAGGCATCAGGCTGAATGGAGGCATCAGGCTGAGTAGAGGCATCAGGCTGGGTAGAGGCATCAGGCTGGGTAGAGGCATCAGGCTGGGTAGAGGCATCAGGCTGGGTAGAGGCATCAGGCTGAATAGAGGCATCAGGCTGAATGGAGGCATCAGGCTGGGTACAGACATCAGGCTGGGTACAGACATCAGGTTGAAGTGCGGGTGCTGAGGCACCAGGCTGAACCATGGAAGGCCGGTTCTCAGACGGCAGGCTGACCGGTTTGGATACTGGCAGGATGGTACTGGTTGGAAAGAATTTTCGCTTTTTTCTGGCTTTAACTACTGGAGCACTGCAAGTAAACGCAGGTCTGCAAACGAATGGAGCAGCTGGAGACAGAGAAGAGCTGGAGGATGGAACAGGGGAGGGAGCAGTTTGCTACAGAGGACTTCTTTACAGGGTTAAAGGGCAGGATAGGTGCAGCGAGTGGGAACAGGGTACTGACATGCGGTAGATAGCAGGGCAGGAGGAGCTGTTGGCAATGCAGGAATAGAGCTTTGAGGAAATAGATTAGAAGCAGGACTGGGTTTTTGCAAGCTGACTGAGGCTGGGTGCAACAAATCTGTGCATGTCTGCAGTATGGGTTGAACAAAGCTGAGCTTACACAAAGCCTGTCTGACCAAAGACTGCACTGCGTTTATACAATCCCTTAATACCTGTGGTGAACATGCAGCATAATGCTCCAAGAAGCAATCCACATCATCCTCTAATAACCATACCAGGGACTCTACCTGGTCTGCACTAAAATGGCGGCAAAAAAGTCATGCTTCCTGCTTTCAGGGGTACCAGATGAAACCAACTCTACACAAACCTGAAACAAAGGTTGCATCTCAGAGAACTCTGTGCCCTGATCTACTAGAACATGAGCGATCCGTATACATTCTAGCAGTTGATCCCGGGTATACTCCCTCAGAGTCTGATAAGCATATTCTCTGTCATCAAACACTAGCAGAGATAAATATACAACCTCATCAAGATCCATCCTTCCCAGCAACAAGCCAAGATGGCTTCCCTGTGCAGCCACTTCTGGTCAGGATTGGCCTTGGTGTAATGTCAGGGCTCCCGGGTATGACCAGAGGTATGTGACTGACGCAGGGAAACGCAGACTTCAGATATGTTATAAACAATATAATTTATTAAAGACTAACAATACAAACATAAACGCAGTGCAATACTAAAACATAACACAGTGCAAACAAACCAAACACCAACCACCCACAGATAACGGTACATACAATGCAAGCGTCGTCAGGCAGGCCGGGTCAATAACAATCGGGCAGGTAGGTACAGGGGGAGCAAGCGGAGAATGGTCGGGGTCACAAGCCAGGTTTAGCAGGTAGCGGGCAGCGTGGTACAGAGGGTCAGGCAGAGGGATGGTCAGGAATGAGCCGGGGTCAGAGCAGGAGAGGGTCAGCGTAATCAGAACAGGCAGAGTTTGGCAACTAGGAAACGTACTAGCAGGAACACAGGAACAGGAACAAGAATGCAGGAATACAAGATACAGGGCCCAGGAAAAACACACACACCAAGGCAAAGACTGCAGGTCTGGCCATCACTTAAATACACCTGCCTAAGCAGTTTCAGGTGTTTGGCTGGCTGCAGGGTTGAGTCTCTGATTGCTGGGAGCACCCGCTGCCAGCCCTGGTACTGCAGCCCACAAGGCAGGTGAGTCCCACCTTTGCTGGCAAGTCCATTCCTAACAGATGTTATGAATATCTATCACACTTGAGTTTAACAATCGGAAGCAGCGGTTGTTACCACAAAACACGTAATTATCCCAAACAACAAGTGTAACTCTATACTGTGTTCAGTTTATTCATTTTATTAAATCAACTATATTTTTAATGTATGTTCAAAAAAAATTGTTGCGATTTTTTATATAATCATGCTTGTAGAATTGATTTTCTATATACATATACCTGCAGGTCACCCTTGAATATTGTGTTTTTCTCAATTTTGACTCCTTGGGTGGTGACCCCCGATATAAGTATACATGTCACATCTCACTGCTGTATGTACAGCCTCACCTCCATTCTGTCCTATAGTCTTGTCCTGAGAAACATCTAAAACAGGGGTCTCCAAACTTTCTATACAAAGGGCCAGTTTATAGTATTTCAGATTTTAAGGGGGGCTGGACTGTGGGAGTAAAAAATGTCTCAGACTTAGTGGACAGTAGGAGTAAAAAACATATTACATATGACCTGTGGTCAATAGGAATAGTGCCCCATTATTGGTATTAGTAGGAGGAATGGTGCCCCATTGTTGGCATTAGTGGGAGGTATATAGTACCCCAAAGGCCAGAAAAAGGCCACAGTATAGAGACCACTGATTTGAAAGGTAAAACATATTTTAAAAAAGGCATGCTGTGTGAATGGGAACATATAAATATATAGTGGAGTTTTCTCAAATTTGACTGCAAAAGTAGACATACACTTTAAACATAGACTTATCGATCTTTTCCAGTCATCCACTCTCCAGTAGAATTGTTCTTTTATACATATTTCTTTGTCTTCAGATATGGCTTGCATTTGCCCTGTAGATTACATTGGTATTTGACATGTAGTATTTAAAATAGAGGTCAATCCGGGCTATTGACATTCAAATATATTTTATATAATCTATCTTGTTAAATGGCATCTTCATTAAGTTTCAATTCTTTTAAAAAAATGAAGCAATTTCTTTGTATTTCGACACTTTTGAATTAGAAGCTTAAAGGATAACTGACTTAAAAGAGAAACGTGGGAATATGACAAAACAAACTACATACATATGTACTTACCTACCTGCTGCAGCATTGGGCTGATGCTGCAGCTGTCCCCTGTAGGCTTTAAGCCCAGAAAATGAGTGGTCACGTGACCACTGATCATCCAGTTTTTGGTTAGCTTTGAGCACAGAGCAGTGACTGTTAGTCACCTGTAGGTGGTATGCAGCATGGTGCGGTGAAAATAACATACACAGTCCAAGTGCAATGTAAAGAACTTGTATTGAAGTACTGCAAAATAGTTCACAGCAAATCCGGTGGAAAGACCCAACCAAGAACACTCAAGGATCCCAACAGCATGTAAAAAGCAGACTTCAGCTGAGCTGACAGCACCTATGAGGAGGGGCAGAGTCTGGCCTGGCCATCTCATACCCAAGAAGAAAGATGTCTTCACCGGTTGCAAACCCTATGCTTTCCCTCCTCATCAGGAACCTTTCCCTTCCACTAGTTCTGTCCCTAACAGATATAGTATCTGACCCTACTCTATCCACTCACAAATGCTTGCCAAATCCGGCAAGCCAGGGCCTTATATAGGCTCTACCTGACTCAGAATGGCTGCCAGAGTCATATAGGGTGGCAGCATCCAATTGGATAGCTTCCCCATTGACCCAGGGAACCATAGAGGAACCATATTCCTCTCGATTTCCTCTCGAGCTGCAAGGCTGCTGCAGATGAGCACCGCCTGTGGAAGAGAAAGCAAACTGCACCTTCCTACACACCGCTCTGTGCTCTGCCCTCATTGGAGCACCAGGCTGTGGAGGGGGCAGGAGTGGCTAGCTCAGGCTCTTGGTGGTATGCTGAGAATCTGAGCCAGCTGCCGGTTAGGAACCTGGGTGGATCCTGACATTATTGTCATTTGTCACATTATTTATCACTGGAAAGCCTAAGGTTTGGTAAATTTAAAAAATCAGTAGAAGGGACTATACTTACATTTAATGTTCCCCCTGTGCTGGTGCCCGGCCGTCATAGTTGACATCTTAGCTCCCACTCCATATGCCGCAGTTTAATCTCCTAGTGATGTGGGGGTTAATAGAAGTGCTGGCCCTGTCACAGGCACTCTTCAAGAGGGCAACTATTCCTGCCCTTTCTTTCTCTCTCCTGTTACTGGCTTGCAAAGCATCTGATCAAATTAATCTATGTTTGATCAGATGCTTTTAGGACAGAGAAGAGTTCTGAAGTCTAATAGTCTCCAGGTCTCTCAGTAAAGAGTACCTGTCACTGGCCATGCTATCACAAGGATTGTTGTTCATCCTGTAAGTTAACAATAAAGTTAATAAAAAAATGCAAATAATAAAAATAATAAAATGTTAAAAAAAATGTAAAGTACCCCTGAGATCACATGCAAATGCAAGCGCATACATAGGTTGCGCACAGTAAATGCAACAAAATCAGTAAAGGCTTTTAAAGCATTTAATATAACATAGTTTGTCACCATTCCATGAGCATGTGCAATTTTACAATGTCTATTTACTCTATATCTATTTACTCGGTGTAACATCATCTTTTATATTTTACCAAAAATTGGGTATTATATTATTTGTGTGAACTAAATTGTATTAAAGCGAAGTTCCACTCACCCTGTCAAAAAATAAAAGTCAGCAGCTACAAAAACTGTGGCAGCTGACTTTTAAAAAACAGCCACTTACCTGTCCCTCGGTCCCGTGTTGTGTCCCCCGCAGCCCATTTCACCGGCTGTCCTGTATTCCAGGAGGCCGTCCTCTTCAGTACGGGCACCCGGCTGTAAAAGCTTGTGGCTTTACAGCTGGGTACCCACTGCGCATGCACAAGTAGCGCTGGGCTTCATGAATGGTCCTGTAGTCTTCTGGGACCTGTCATGTGTCCCAAAAGACTACAGGGAGGGAGGAGGACACCTTCCGCTTTCGATCGCCTAGGCGATCGGACCGGAAGTGGGAGCGGGTACCTGTCAAATTCGGGTACTTGTTCCACCCCCTAAGGTGCCAATCCTTAATGGGGAGCGGGGGAGCAGTCCTTAAAGCGGAACTTCCCCTTTTGGGCGGGCTCCGCCTTAAACTGTATTTTTTCCTGAAAATGTGTGGTTTAAAAATGTCAGTGCAAATATCCTATGATGTAAAAAATTGCAGCAACCATCATGTTTTCCCCAGGGCCACAGCGTTTAAAAAATATATGTTTGGGGGTTCTAAGTAATTTTCTAGCAAAAAATTGCAATTGATTTTAACATATATGTGAGAAATGTCAGAACTGGCCTGGGCAGCAAGTGGTTAAAGAGTAATGAAAAGTAGTTTGATACAATTGACAATATATAAAAATGTACAAAAAATATTTTTGAAGACAATCCATTCATTGGCAAAGTATTGTAACAGAAGGACAAAGTGTCTTTTAATTGCTCTGAAGAATAAAGCAGTGGTGGTTCCAACAAGATGGTGAAACCGTAACATAAAGAAACAAGAAACTTTGTTAATGTGCCCGGCAGTGACCCAAGAATAAAAGACAAGAAAAATGGGATTTTAATGTTCTCGTGCACTTAGGACAATCCCATATTTTCTTCATAAAGTTCAGGCCTTCCCAGCATGCTTTGTTTTCACATCAGAGCAGCCAGGAAACAGAGCTTTGGGCAATAAGGAATATTGGGAATGTCAATCTGGTTGACTTTCTGTCCAAGTGAAAAGGCCAAAGATCAGCACTTCAATAATGTACTCAGGAAGAGAGGGAAGGGAAAGGAGAGGCTTTATTTGTTTTTGTTTGACAGTCCAGGATATGCGCCATTGTTTTCTTTCAGTTTTCTCCTAAGCTCTCTACTAGACTAGAAAGGAAAGGTCAGAATAGTGAGTGATTTTAATTGACAACTTTTCATTAACTCACCCTTTAAATTGTGATAAATTGCTAAACTTCATACTTATTAATGTGTATTTCACAATTACTTTTTTTTTTGGAGACTTACAGTAACCCTGGGGGGGTGTTTGTAAAACCAGAGCTTGGTACTTTAAAATGCTTTCTAAAGATAAACTCTGCAAAACTTGGAGGAAAAAAAAAATAGAATTTAGTAGAACGATAGGGAGGGCAGTTTGCATTCTGCCAGAATTTGGTGGAATGGATAGAGGTAAAATTTCATTTTTTGGATAATGAAAAATATATATTTTAAAAAAATATAAAAAACATCAAAATATAACCTATAGCATATTTTCCTGCTGCAAGATTTTATACTATACATGTGTGTGTGTATATATATATATATATATATATATATTCATATTTAAATATATACCTGTGTGTATATATATATATTTATATTTAAATATATACCTGTGTATATATATTATATATATATATATACATTTTGTTTATTTTTTTATTATTTACATTTTTGTCCATGCTTGTCCAAGGAGGGATATTAACCATTTACCCCCTCACAGCTATACATCCCCTATGTACCAGAGCATTTTTTACAATTCTGCTATAGACCTGTTTATTTGATAATAAGTTTGCCATTATTATGATAACAAAGTAATACATACAGTCAGGGCAGCCTCCTGTATGGGGCCCGGTCTAGCAGGGGGCCCAAGCAACAGGGTGAATAGGATGTGGGCAGGCAGGGTGATTGGTGCGGTGGGAAGGGGGCAATTACTGGAAGTGATCCCTTGTAAGGCTCTCCCTGCAGCAGCTGAAAGCAGACTTCTTCTCTTCTACCTCTTGTCGGCTTTCAGCTGCTGCAGAGAGAGCCTTACAAGGGATCAGTTCCAGTTATTGCTGCCCTGCCACACTGATCACCCTCCCTGTGCACCATATGTTTCCCCCTGCTGCCCCGACCTCCCAGCTTAGAGTTACACAAGAGGTCTGGTGCTACAATTATTGCTCTCACTCTAACATTTGTCAGATGTGTGGTGCGATGACTGTTTAAATATGTGTGTGGGACCGACACATGCCTTCACCTTTACACATAAGTACAGGGGGAGCGGGAGATTACATTTTATTTATTTATTTAATTTTTCTTATCAGAAGGGGTAAACAACATCTCTTTTCATAGCATGAGCCATGACAGGTCCTCTTTATGGAGAGATCTAGGGTCTAATAGACCCCCAGATATCTCCTCTGGCCTCCAATGAAGCGGATCTGACACAGATTGATCTGATTGGCTGCTTCACTGGCTGGTAACCAGCCAGTAAACACAGAGCCGCTTTTGGTATCTGACGTCATACAGTGGGAAGATCAACATCAGTTCCTCCCATTGTGTCTTGTGGAGTCAATTCTGACAGTTGCATCTGACAGTCCTCGTTTGCACACGAGAGCCTGGTAAAGGCTACGGTGGCATTGATACCGGCACAAAAAATTATCCTGTGATCATGGTTGTAGCCTCAGCCAAGATCCCAATATAACCGCTTCAATTTCAGGCCGTATATATATACTGTATATATATATATATATATATATATATATATATATATATATATATATACAGTGGTATTGAAGCGGTTAAGGTATACAGTGTATAGAATTGCTTCTAATTGCTGTCTGTGTCCCTGGTGGGGAAAGTCACTCTCCCTGTTTGTCCTGGGGACCACTAGGAGGCAAAATCCAGCTGTCAACCAAACAGGAATAGATAGGAAGTCTTCCAATTGGCATACTTGTTCCCATGACAACTGTCAAAGACAGGATTTACTTTGTTTTGGAGGGATTTCCTAATTTCCTGTTTTTCCAGGAGAGGAACTGAAAGGAAATCTCTCGAATGACTGTGGTTTTAACCATCCCTACTCTTTCCAAAAGGAAAAACCTGTGGGCTTTAGATATACAGGGAGTCCCCAGGTTACGAACAAGATAGGTTCTGTAAGTTTGTTCTTAAGTTGAATTTGTATGTAAGTTGGAAGAGGTACATTTTTTAGATATAACTCCAGACAAGTTTTAGATAGCATAGGGGAGGGTTAACTGACCATGCAGGGATGTGGGATTGCTGACAGTTCTGCTGGAAGGTGGCAGCATGTAGTGAACAGCAAGATGGCGGCTCGGTGGTTTCTGGGACCAAAGTAACGTCTCGCTGCCTTCGTTCTTAAGTATGAGTCGTATGTACGTCAGATGTATGTAACTCAAAGACTGCCTGTACTTTCATACTTTAAGAAAAGAATGTTAAAAGTAACTGGTATTGACCATAATACAGTGGTATTACTAATTAGTAAAGAAATGTACCACTACAAAATGATCTGTGAAATGTGTCTAGCAATACACTTGTAAACTTTTACCTTTACCTTTCTTTCTTTCTTTCTTTCTTTCTAAATTATAAAAAAAAAAACCTTATTTAAAATGAGTAAAATGGAAGGTTGCATATTCGCACTTTACGTGTTCTTGTTTTGAGCCAATTGATGGACCTACAGGATCCTTTTCATGTTTTCCAGTTTCCTAACCTCCAGCTAAAAAGCTTGTTCACACAACTTAAAGTGGAGTTCCACTCCATAATAAAAGTCAGTAGCTACAAAAACTGTAGATGATGACTTTTAAAAAACAGCCATTCACTTTGTCCCATGATCCTGCGAGGCCCCTGCCACAGCCCGTATCACCGGTTGTCCAGTATTCCAGGCGCCGGCATCTTCAGTGTGGGCACCCGGCTGTGACAGCTTGTGGCTTCACAGCCGGGTGCAAACTGCGTATGCGCGAGTAGCTCTGCGCTTCCTGAATGGCCCCGTAGTCTTCTGGGAGCTGTCACGTGTCCAGCAAGACTACAGGGAGGGGTGGGTAGGAAGACAACTTCTGCTTCACCCCCCCCCCCCCACTCCCCAAAGGTGCCAATCCTTAATGGGGAGCAGGGGACCAATCTTTAAAGCAGAACTTCCCCTTTTGGGTGGAACGCCACTTTAATAAATTAAAGGGTAAATTCATCTTTTCATGAAAAATGAAAAGGTGAACTAACTCAAAATATCCTGACCATGAAGCCTGTCCATACACCGTATACTGCAATACACAACCCTGGAGTGAGTATCCATCATAACACTTACAATGGCTAGTGCTCATTGATCAACACAGCCTCATGACTGTACTAACCATTACAAAATGCATCTTAAAACATCTCCATCTGGTAAGGTGGATTGTAGATCCTGGGCTCACTTGCTATTCCTGCGAGCCCTGGGGCCGCAAAAAAAAATAACTTTATAGTTTCAGTTTTTATATTTTCCTTGTCAAATTTGTTTATTGATGTTTAAACATAACAGAAGTGGGTTCAAGTCAGGGGCGGACTGACCATTTGGAAACTCGGGCACTGCCCGGGGGCCCGGGGTCAGTAGGGGGCCCCATGGGATGCCCCTGGTACCTTTTTCATAGGCTTTTTTGAGTTTGGGCAAGGGCATAGGGCCCCATGATCCCCTATTGCCCGGGGGGCCCCATGAGTTGTCAGTCTGCCCCTGGTTCAAGTACAGTAAAAGAAGTATGGTTAGGCAATACAATACAGCTCCTCTGATAGTGGGGATAGTAAGGGAATCATAAAGCAAGCACAAATATCAGATCTACAAATAATAACATACAGAAATATTGTAAATTGCAAAGGTAACACATGGCCGTAATATCAGCGTTTTTTTAGAGGTAATACAATATAGTATCAACATACACATTTTTTAGTTTTGACTGGAGATACACTTTAATGTATATCTTAAAAATCTTTGATAAAACAATGAAAAACAATAGTGAAGAGTTACAGTTTGGTTGCATTACTGTTTCTGATTGTGCCAGTTCCTCTACAGATTACAATTTATTGTGTAAAAAATATTGCTAAAAACACAATTTAAACTATTCCTTTATATAGCAATGACATATTCTGCAGAGCTACACACGATGAGGCGGTACATACAGTATAAAACACATACAATGTATATATTGTATTGTATAAGTATGAAAAAATAAAATGCTTATGAAATTTTAACAGTTTTCAAATGAAACCATATGGTTTGCATTTGTGTAACTTGACACAGCTTTGGAGCTACTAAACTTTAAAGTCCAACTCTGGGCTAGAAGAAAAAAAACCTTGCAGTGGGGCCCCCTGTGCTACCAGGGTTAAATGTTCATTATGTCTAGGGGGTGATGGGATTCATGCATTACATACCTTTCTTCCTCCAGGGCTAAAAGGCAATCTTTCAGCGCTATCATGCACAGTGCAGGGCTTTTAACCCTGTATTGTATGTGGCAGCAGGAGTAAAACCAACTGGGAGCATCTTAGAAAGGGGGCTTTGTGGGACTAGTTGCACTGCTGGAGGAACCCTGCTGGAGCAAGGTATAAGGCAAGTATTACGCATTATTCTTCTACCCCTATGCAGAAACAAGCATCCAACCCTTGCAATGTGTCGGGAAGGGAGGGGGGGAGTTGTGTTTTTATTATGCTTGGCATTGGCTTTAAAGTGAACCTTTCCATTTCCCAAGAAAACACAGTGAAACCGTCATATTTTCCCTATCAGTTGTTTGAAACACCCTCAACATCTTTGCAGATGAAACAGCTTTTTTACTGATATGTATAATTCAAATTTTCATCAAAAGTCGGCAACTATGCCCTAATCTAAATCTCTAATCCCTCTCTCCCAGGTGCTGACATATGCAGAGAGCAGTAACACAACCGGGGCCCTGGATAAGGGGTACCACCAGTCCTTCTGTACGGGGCCCAGGTCAGTAGAGGGACCCAGGCAGCTGGGTGAATTGGATGTGGGTAGAGAGAGTGATCGATGTGGCTGGGGGGAAATTAATGGAACGGATACCCTTTATGTCTCTCTGTGTAGCAGCTGAAAGCTGGTTTCTCCTCTGGCTTTCAGCTGCTGCAGAAAGAGCCATAAAGGGGATCTGTTACAGTAATACCCCCCACCACACCCATAACCCTCCCTGTGCACCGTTTCTCATTGCTGCCCAGGCCCCCGTGTGCCCCCACCCCCACAGTGCTGCAGGCTTCCCTTCTCTCCTTTACAATGGCAGTTATATACACACAAAAGGATCCTTCAGGATGGAGAGTGGGGGAACGGTCCAGTAAATATGTCACATTTACCAGCCCTTTCCTTTCCTTAATAAACACAATGAGTGATTGGTACAGATTACTCACTGTGTTCATTCATAACTAAAGCATAGTCAACTGGTTTTTTTTTTTGGGAGGGGGGCCCCCTGTCAGATTGGCTGTATGAGACCCTGTGGTTTCTAACAGCATATGAACACGACAGTCACAGGATGGACAGGGGTGTCTTTGAAGTGCTGTAACTGACAGCTTGTCTTTACCTTCTTTGTGTTGTGCAGGAGCCAAAAGAACAGGAACCTATAGGAACTGTCATCATTTTTAGCCTTCAATAAATCAAATTAAGTGGGGATTTCTGCACTATTAGTTTTTTTTTTTTCTTCCATGTCCTGATGTTCTTACCTATGGGGGGAATGAGGAGTGCGGATACCAGAAGAGTGAATATCCAGAAGGAGTATTTAAGACCTTTTATCACTCAACCCTGGGATATAGGGGCTCAGTGGGGTAAGGTGTTTGGCAAGTGGGGAAAGTACACTTTGTGGTGGAGACATACGGGCTGATTTGTTAAAACTGAAGAGTGCAAAATCTGGTGCAGCTGTGCATGGTAGCAAATCAATCAATCAATCAATCAATCAATCAATCAATCTAATGTCAGCTTGTTCAATTAAGCTTTGAAAAAACTAGAAGCTGATTGATAGAGCTGCATTATATTTTGTACTCTCCAGATTTAAAAAATCAACCCCATAAAGTCACAGTTTGGCACATTTGGAGAGAGGGAATTGTAAGCACAATATATTCACAATATGGTATATGGTGTAAATGGATATACAGGTAGTCTTTAAGTTACAAACATTCGACTTACATACAACTCGTACTTAAGAATGGAGTCACCGTGCCATCACACTGGTCCCTGAAACTAGCTGGTGACCATCTTGCTGCTCACTGCATGCTGCCACCTCTTCAGGGAAGCCTACCCCAACCTCTCCAAACACCCGACCTCACTTCACAACCAACCTCCTTCATTCCACCCACCATTCCATCCCCCACAGCCATCTCCTCCTGTGCCACCTTCCCCTCCCTCCTAGATTGTAAGCTCGAAACAGCAGGGCCCTCAAACCCCTCGTGTAGTGTACTGTTACCGTCTTGTCTCATGTTCTGTCCCCCTTGCTACTGTACAGCGCTGAGCATACCCTTTGGCACTATATAAATACTGTATAATAATAATAATAATAATAATAATATTTGCATGGCCAGTTAACTCTTCCCTATGCTCTCCAAAATGTCAAAATAATTTTTTTGGCTGGAGTTACACTTAAAAAATGTACCTGTTGCAACTTACATACACATTCAACTTAAGAACAAACTTACAGAACCTTACAGTCATAACCCTGAGACTGCATGTACTGCACTATTGAATTTTTTTAATTTTGAGAAACATTGATAAGAAGAGAACAGGGATTTACTGGAACGTACCTGAGGAGGATATTATTTGAAGTTATAACATTTTAGGTCTGGTAAGAATACAGATGAATACACCATCGCTGTATGGTGTTGGACACGCATCTGAGCACATATTATTGGAATTTTAATTGATGTTGTGTAGATTTCTTTTATTTTGGGGTACCTGTGAGAAAAATGGAAGACTTATAAAGAAGTAAATGAGAAACTGGGAATGATAAATGCTCTGTGGACACAATACTAATATATGGGTCAATTAATAAGATAAGATTTTGGAAAAGGGAAGTTCCTGGATATACTTACCTGAAAGAGGACCGAGGGGATTATTTTTGAGGACTTGAAGCTCTGGACACTTTTGAAAATTAGGACATTGAAGTTTTCTGGGGATGGTGGTATATGGTCTAGCTGCTGGATTAAAATTGCTTTTGGGAACACGTGCACTGGTGAACATTCAATCACCCAATAGGGGAATAACAAGGTCTGTGTGGGGGGGGGGGGGGGGGGGCAGGGAAGACTAGAGCTGAGTTTTTAAATCACTGATTAAAGAGGAACATCAGTCCCATTTAGTTTTGTCCTGGTCCCCTCTGACACCGCCATCTTTGTTAGCATGCCGCATGTGCAGATTTGCCAGAATGGCTCTGCCTGGACCTCAGGTTCTGGCAGAGTCCTGCAGCACATTTGCACATGCTCATGGGGTAGGATGTTTCACATTTGCACGGGTGGGGGGGAAAACTTTGGTATCAACTCCATACTTAGAGATCCACTCGATTCAAACTGTTTTTCGTTGAGAATAAGATTATTGTTCAACATACCAAAAAAAGTTAAATTTTGTCAAAATCAAATACATTTTGCCCAGATTATTTAATTTATTTTCATTAAAAATTATGTCTAATTGAGAAAACCATCAATTCAGTGTAAATTATTTACGAAAGCTACAATTCTTCCATTGAATATGAGTGTTACTTATAGCAATTAATTTCGTACATATATGACCAACATAAGCTTGGTCTTTACCTTCTCATCAGTCTAGCATTGTTAGCTGTACCAGGAGCACAAGCATAGCTACCTAAGTCACAGAGACATGAAAGCCCCCATCGTAGACTAGGTAATGACCCATCTGAGATTACAGGAACAAGGCACTAATTGATGTACAAAATAGTTTTATATGAGTATAGGCAAGTGACTAAAATTGTAAAATTCACATCAGAAATTACTTTAGGATCAAATGTACAATAATTATGCAAAATTTACGCTTTCTGAAAATATTTGATGGTATCCCTTTAAATTTTGGTTTATTTTTCAGTATCCTTTACACTTTAAAGATGTGAAAACTTTACAAATGTTGAGTTTTAACTCAATAATAGAGCAAT